AGACATCCGCAATAGGCTCAATACGTCAGGAAATATAGTTTAAGAAAATGCCACAAACGCGAAAATACCATCGAAGTACACCAAAGTGGTCTAAGGAGGGTGCACAAGTTTATAACACATAGTGAAGGTAGACCATAAAATGAGCTAAAAAAGAGCATTAGGACAATAGAGCAAACCTACCTCCTGAACTAAAGACTCCGTATGCAAACACGCCGTTTGTAATTTGAATGCAGGGTAACTACAAACCCTGAGCAGGTTCTGCCAACGTTCCCTGCAGGATTCTTCCTCATTTCGGTGTTGGACTTGAGTGACATCGCTCATGGCTCACTAGACCTACCTGACTCTGGCAATAGCGACCACATTTGCTACAGCAATATGCACAGAGTCGGTTGCAGAAACTGTACTTGAAACCTTTCGAGATAACTCATATCCCGCCGGTACATCTTACCCGTTTCACTGCCAATTAGAAGTACGGACAGCTCCACTGATTTGTACATCAGCTAGGTGCCAATGGTAAGCTGATGGATGTTCCACGCTCGGTACTCTAGCTTTACGAGTGCTGCTGTTGCCTTCGAGACGCGGTTACGCAGCTCACTGCGTAGCAGCTGGTAAGGCAACACCACACTCCAAGGTAGCAGAGGCGGAAGGTGTTTTCCAACAGGTCATAACCAACGATAATTTGCCGCAATATTGAATATTGCACCACCGGTGAAGGGTGAAATATACAGACAGTTCTGCTTATGATGTTGGTGAGCCCGAATTTGGCCGCCGTCGAAGCCAGAACGATAGTCATGTGCTGAAACTCATCCACGTTGTGGGCAAACAACGCATATTCCTCATCTAACAATAAGCTACGGATAGTTGTCTCACAGACCAGAGTTCCCGCACCGAAACGACGGGATGTTAAGCAACCCACCATCAATACGGTGTCCCACACAAACGCCGTAAGCATAAGCCCCAACAAAGTACAAGATATCAATACATGAATCTAAATATTAAGCAGGGCAGGAGCTAAGACACAGCCTTGCTTCACACCAGAAGCAAATGCAAATTCATCTGAGGTCTCCACTCATATGCACCCTCGTCTGCATACCACTGTGCAAACATTCAATTAAAGTTACAAACTTATGCAGGCAAGCAAACTTACTCAACACCAGACCCAATGCCTCGCGGTTCACCGTATAAACTGCCTTGGTGAAAGCAACAAAATGCGAGTACAAAGGCTGGTGTCGTTCTCTGCACTTCTCCTTCAACTGATGTGCCGCAAACACCATATCTATAGTGCTGTGACCCGAACCGAATTCACACTGCGCTTCCGCCACGTTAGATTGCAAAACCTAGCTGACGAGTTGGTTGAGCAGGATTCGGGTAAGCACCTTGCCCACACAACTCAGCAAATTGATGACACGATAATTGGTGCAACATTGATTGCTCAATTTGCCCTTGTACAGTGGTAGCACAAGGGTATCCATCAGATCTAGAGGCACTTCCTCCTCAATCCATACGCATTGGACCAAGTGGTACAGCGCAGTCACCAACGAAGGTCCGCCGTGTTTCAATACTTCAGGCGGGATCCCGTCGGTAGGGCACAATTGCGCTTTCGTAGCTGAGCATGTGCTCTCTGTGTTGCACCCAGTGTCTGTGAGTCCGCCAGACTCGCCTTCACATCGTGCTACTTCAGGCTGTTCAATGTAGGCCAGACGATCTCTGAACGGTTGTTCAAGAGACAGTCAAAGTACATTTGCCAGATCTGCATTGTGTTTGTAGTCTGTGAGCAGGTAGCTCCTGAACTACCAACGGTCAGCCTCCTCAACGGCTTCAACATCTGTCCATACACCGTATTAAAGGAGTCAAACAATTCCTTGTGTTAACTGCGTTCGGCGTAGCATCCCATCTGCTTCGCCTTCTCCATCCACCGTGCACTTTTGTGCAACGGAACTTTAGGCTTAGTCGCCGTCGATATTTAAGAAAACTTCTCTTCTTCCCTCAGTCACTGGGGTCTGCCAAATGTGTAGCAAATGCTGCATTCTTCTCCGACGCCAATACGCCAATCGTCGCATTGTTCTCATCAAACCAATCAGGCCGCTTACGGTATGCGCGCCCGATGATTGCTTGGGCAGCAGCTGTCACTTGGTCGCGCATGTGGTGCGGCAGGTCGCCCACTGTGGCTATGCAGTCAACATCACACAAGCGTGCAGCCATCGTGTTCCCCAGCTCAATACGTTTCACCACAGTACCGAGAGAGACAGGGAATATTACATTTTCGCCAATTCTAGATAGAAGTGTGATACACAGATTTACGAAAATATATGTACAGTTTGTTCCGTACTCATTTGGGATCATTGCTACACTCAGTTCCACGCAGTACACGTGTCATGCGCACTTTACACATGTCATGCTGAAGTACGATGATATAGTCGAGCAGGTGAGCGCAGCCACTCGTGGGTGCGTCCCAGTTGTTATATCAATCACACTCCGTGCAAACTGAGTGTTCGTGATCGTCAGACCACGAGTAGCACACAGTGAGAGCAGTCTGTCACCATTCGTATTCGCATTCGCTGAAGCAATGCCACGTGAACGGAGGACATCTATGCAGACCGATGCATCACGATCAACGAGCGAGTTGAAATCAGCCAGCGGAAATAGTCCGTCGCTCCTCGACACAGACCGTATCACGGAGGATAAGGGAGGATATTTGAACATGGGAAACAGTATGTATATGTGTACGTGTCAGCAAAGTCTATGTTCGAAACGCCCGCTGGCGTTTTACGTACATTGCAGCATTCTCCTGATGGTGTTTGCTAGCAATTTCTCCAAAAGACCAACTGTGATCCCGCGACATTCGCGCAAATTACTTTGCTTCAATTCCTCCAGAGGTTTTGGCTTCGTTTTGGATACCCTCTCTTTTAAGTAACCCCAGATAAAGAAATGCAAACGGTTCAAACCTGGTGACCGAGCAGTCCACTCTATAAATCCCCAGGACAGATCCAAAGGTAAGGGAATGTCTGGTTTAGAAAATCTCACACCTTTTATTCATTGTTTGCAAGTGAGCCATCATGTGGCAACCAAACGGCACTTAATAGCCTACCGGCTTCCAGTGAAGCAATGACACAATTTTGCTGTACTTCCTTGTACGACGATGCTAGAAACCGCAGAGAATTCCTAATATGATACAGCAATCTACCGGTCATATTAAAGAAAAAGAAAAATAGTCCCATGATTTTTCGTTACTTAACTCAGCCCATACGGTGAGCTTTGCGCTGCATCGGTGTGGATTGCACGTTGCCCAAAATAAGTGCTTCTCCGCACCGTGCAAACGGAAACCTGCCTTATCGGTAAAAAGAATTGTATGGATGCCTAGATCATTCAAAAAACTGCGACAAAAATCAAGCGGCTTCTGCGAATCACTTGGGTTTAAACTTGCACTTGACGAGCGCTTTACTTCTGGAATTTCATTTCCTTCAAAATCTTGGGGACAGCATATCTGGTGCTGTCGCATTGCTGGTCGAGTTTACGAATGTTCAGATCGCAGCTTCTGCATACCTCATGAATGACCGCTCAAGCAGCAAAGTCATCCGTAGTGATGCGAGGTCGCCCCGTCTTTTTGGCATCGCATAAGTGCCCAATTTTCTTATATGTTATCACCAGCCTACGAACGTACCGCCGGTTGATGGGCCGCCTGGCACAGAGGATAGGTTTGCATTTCGAGCAGTTTATTCAAAGTTTCATCCGCATTCATCATACAGACGAAAAATACGCACCCGCTGGTTAACAGACATGTAACCCGATTTGGATAGAGTGTTAGCTGATAACAGCGGTACTTCCTCGTGATCCACCGCCCAGCCAGTGATCCTATAAACAAACGGCAAGAATTTCACCACTTCACCCAGTCATAGGTTGACTGCTGTATGTGTATTTTGTGAACAGCCTCGCCCTACACTGGTGAGGTCAGCGCTAGTTGCCCTCAAACCTACCTCAGTTAATGCTTTGCCTTTCAGTCCGCAGTCCTATCGGGGTCAGGTTACTGGGCTTTATAAAATGAGGTCCTCTGAGTCTCCGCGCCAGAGTGGCCGTCAGACGATGCCGTTCGCAGTCGAGTCTTTACTTCGTTAGTGGCCCGACAAAAGAGGCAGAGCGACAACTGTGAGATAGCTTACGCAGTCCCATGGATGCTTGCGCTCCTACACAGCTTGCCGATTGGACGGGTTCAGTTAAGAGAGAACGTTTCGGGTTTCCTTCAGATGCTCATTGAAGCGACAAACAGGGATGCCACTGGACCTATATTCTCAGACTGCCTGTACCTAGCTAATTGTATTAGCACTAAATGTTTGTTGCTAGTACGAAATCGCCCGTTTGTGTGTTACATTGATATGTTCAAATTACGCTGGCATCCCTTGAGGATTATAGCAATATCGGATTTCCAGCAGGTGGTCCATATTGTAAGGCATTATACCCGTATCTACTGCCAGATCGTTACTTCCCCTCTACTGATTATGTCACCTAGGCTTGTGGCGAAACGTCTAAAATGGAATTGGGACAGAGTTCCCAGAGTCGCATCCGCTGCAGATGGGCACTAATTTGAAAACGGTGAACCAAATCGATGGTAATTCTTAACTGCCACGTAACTCTGATGTGTTTCAACGGAAACATTGATATAAATCTGAGGCTGTTGTGACTATTCGTACACAGATGCAGCGATGCAGTAATACGCTGATTCAGTTAACATTAGAGCATTTTTAAATTAATCTCTTTAGCAGAGATAACATTTTAGGTACCACGTTTTGTTGCTTCAGTTGGAGAGCATTAGATTACTTGAACTGAAATAACATCAGCTGTTAGACAAAACGGATTGCTTTGGCTTTTCAAAATTAGCCACGAATGTTAGCGCCCAGTGCTTAATGTGGAGCTACTAAGGTAATACTCATGTAAGGTTACATTCACTTGTTTTTATTCATAAGCCTTACGCAAGTTTAACTGAATTTTCATCCTACTTGTTTCAGGTAAGCCGCTGAACTGCTGGGTTCCCCAGGAGTTCACTAGCTCATGGGAGGATTATGCGGAAAACCTCTGTTGGGTGCAAAACACGTACTTCCTTCTTCCCAATGAGGCAATTCCTGAAGAAGATTTTGAGATGCTCAAAGTTAAACACATTTCCTACTATCAGTGGGTCGCCATTGTGCTTGCTGGTCAAGCTATGTTGGCTTGGATCCCACATATGTTTTGGAGGGTGTGGTCAAGAAGGGTCCCAATTTTGTTACGCAATGCCCGTGAAGCAGCAGTTCCGGACAAGGAAACTAGGCACAAAGCAATTAGTTGTTTGGTTGCGGCTCTCGAAGAGATATCTGAAGCATCCAAACGTTACCGGAGGACACGTGGAGTGTTTAAACGCTGTTTCCGCGGAGCACCTCCAACTGCACAGATCACCATACTTTTTCTTTTTGTACGCGCCTTGTTTATTGCAAATAATATCGGCCAGATTTATATCATGAAACGATTTATCGGATCAAATGACACTCTCTTTGGATTGCATGTCTTTCAAGAGCTACTGACCGGAAGTCAGTGGGAAATCTCTGGTCTTTTTCCTCGTGTAACTTACTGTGATGTGAAGGTGAGGAAGCTGGGGCAACTCAAACCGGCATCGTAAGTCAATGTATATGTTGATCCAAATTGCATTCTGAGTAATATATTTTCATTATTGTTTGTGAGTAAGACATTTTTACGCTGCTTTGCCTGTTTTATTACCAGAAATAATGTATAGCAAGCAAAATGGTGCTGTCAACAAGCAAAAACCACTTCAGTAATGGGTGCTTAATGCAGCCTTCTAGCGAAATTTCGATACGTGCCAGGCCATATATGTAACAATACTCTTTAGTTATAATGGGTGCAAGAGGATCACTATCCGGATAAATAATGGTTTCCAGCTTGCATCTTTGCTTTTACGGCACCGAGTCACAAGCAACGTAAATTTGCATAGCCAGTTACTTAGTACGGATTTTGTTGAATCACATTGATAGTGGATGGATTGCCGCACAAGCTGAACCTTTACCGTAGTTGTATTTGAAGTGACTCTTTCCCAGTTAGATTGTTAGGCGCGTATCTGTTACCTACGTATATAATGTGCTTCCCGAATTAAGTTTGTGATTGTCACATTCAAGGCAAATAGCATGTGGTTCAAATGGGTGACTGCCGGTTAATCGACAATTGTTGCGCTGCCTGTTCTTCTTAGTTCTATACGGTTCAGCGCACCCCCTGGGGTACATTACACGAAACGAATGCAACAGAATAGCCATATTCATGAGGCTATAATAGTCGTGTATTTGATGCTTTCACTGATTAGCCCTTTATTACAAGGTACCGGATGGTCTGCTTAATTTAAAATTTAGCCAACCGTAAACTTAACCACTGAAACATTTATTTTGTGTTCAAGGCAGGACGTCAAAGCTTAGTCCACAGGAAGGGTTGTTGTGCGGTTAAACTATTAAAGGCGTTTCTAAGGGGCCAGTCTAAAATCAAACTAGCTTAGCCATCTGAGTTAAAATTGGTTTCTATCCCACAGTGCACTTGACATCGTATCTGAACGAAAGTGCGTATGTGCAGCCGAAGTGAAATGGTCAGACGTACGATCTTGCGGTCATTTACTGCAAAATGCTTCTGTCTGCCATGTGAAAAAGAAGGCGTTGCTTGCTAATACAAGTCAAACAAATTAAGCTCCCCGCCTTCAGTCGTGATTAGTTTGGTATGGCGTGTAACATTCCGTGGAAACTCTGAATTGGAGCGGTGGGGCTTGGACGAAGTGAACGGGCAACTTGGTGCCTCTTAGAACTGGCTGCAAGTACAAAGTTTATGCATTAAATTTCAAAGAAGGGAATAAAAATTTAAACTAATTTTTTACAATAAGAACAGCTAGCATCCTATCTACAAAGCAAAACCTGATTTAGTCACATTTGCAGTAACAGTTAAAGACAAAATAAAGATCATACACTACAAAATGGAGTCAATCAAGGATTCAACTTGAATGGTATTTTTGTCAGACATAGAAGCAGAAGTACTGCAATTAAATGCCTAGTTTAAAGATGCCGTTCAGTATACAAAAGCTTCATATTTAATGCTACTTATCTCAACAATTGTCTTGTGCATTCCCATGCATGGTGTTGGTGTGAATGCGTAATTGGTAGATGCTTTATATTTCTGCCGTACGACTAAAGAAAACATTGTTATAGGTTACCATAGACAGCAAGTACTACAGTCCGGCCCATAAATTCACAATATTATTAATGCGTCATCCTCTATCTATTGAGATAGATGATAAGCTTTACTCTTATTTTATAATAAGCTTGAGTATTTGCCACTGAGAAATGATATTCCACAGTGAAAATGCAGGTATTTAATTAGTCCCATGGGGTGGGCATGAAGAAAATTTCGAAGTTCAGAGATAAAGAAGTCATCAGACGAGTAGTCGTTATGCACTGCATAAAAATAGTAGCAAATGAAGTTAAGTGTTATCGTACAAAATGGAGTGCCAGCAAATAGATATTTTACCTTTGGGTTGGAGAGAACAAGAATGTTGGCTTAGTCTCCGCATTCGCTGCGTTCATTCGGCATGTAAATACAATAATATTGACACCAAAAGATATTCTACAATATGAAAAGTATCACACCAGCTTGTTGTAGAAAGAAGAAGCTCAAACTTATGGAATACACTACAAGAAGGATTAATAAAGGCCGATTCTCTGAAGTGTTTAAAAACCCGTATGGACGATTATTCCGAAAATATGTGCTTTTGTGAAACGATGCATAAACAATGCCACAAGAAGACATTTTATACAAGGAAATAACGACCCCAAAACGAATTCCAAACCGAAAAATGATAAACGATTAACCGACCACACACAACCGCTGGCAAATCGCAACTAAATGTTTTGATTGTTCATAATCGATAGAGTTGTACAGAAAACTTTCTATACCAGTTCTCGACCAAGTTGTCGTCTTGGGCAAGAGATTTAATCTGAGGGGGCATACAACATGAGTCTACTCAATTAATTTAAGCCGTGCGTACGTCACTTACTTGTGCAAGTCTGTAGGCGTGCGGGTATAGCCCGTCGCCTTCAGCCAATTGCACCTCAGACGCACTAAGTCATAGGGGTGCAGGTGGGACGCTTCAGCTCCTACCAGGGACAGCGTCGCTGGCCCATGCACCAGGTTGGCCTTTGTTTCTCTGTACTAGAAAGCGATTCCCACCAATTAGAACATGAGTATGGATTTGAATGACGATGGGTTGGTATAACGAGCCACAGCCAAACAACTTTGCCGTATGCTTTTGAATGTGTAGTTCACCTAAACGCAATGGTTGGCGCGTATGTTCGGCACTCGAGGGAGGTGAAAAATATCGTACTGAAAGCGTACGAGGAAGGTGACGATTGGAAGCAGGTCGCTTGCATACTGAAAGTGAACGTGAAAACTTGCCGCAACTGGATACGGGCATACGAATCGACGGAACCGTTGGGGTAGCACGGGAAAGTCCGTCGCAGAGCACTGGGAGAAAGCCACGTCGACTCTCTGGTGGAGTGGGCTTCTGCATAGCCTACCGTTACCCTTGAACACCTTCGTTTGGGGTTGAAGGCGGAGTTTGAAATTATAGTAAGTACCAGCACTGTCTCACGATACTTGGATGGTAGACTTATAACAATGAAGAAATTGCACATAATTCCGGAGTCCATGAACACGCTGGAGAACAAAAAACGACGCAGGTCATCGTTTTGCAGCTCATGGATTACGAGGTGAAAGGAAGGCAACCGATGTGGATTGATTATTTGCTCCCGCACTCGTGGCCGCTTACGACGTGGTAGTCGAGGGCAGTGTACAGTGGCGAACAGCCGGGGACCGAATGTTCATCTTGTCTGCTCCATAACAAACAACGGCTTGATAGCGTGTTCGGTTCTGAGAGGAAGTTACAACAAGCAAAGGTGCGCTCAGTGGCTGCGACAAGTGCTTGATACCAACGGAGCAGGGTATGTGGAAAGGTGTCTTTTGATTTGTGACAATGCCCCCTGTCACACGTACCTGGAGCACGTTTTCTGCAGGAACCGTACCGCTCTGTGAGACTTCTACGCCTTGCGCCATACTCACCAGCTCTCAATCCCATCGAGAGCAGCTGGAGCATAATAAAGACTCATGTAAAACAGGCAATGAGGGGACGGTACTCCGAGATGCTCCTTGGGGATCCTGAAGGCATTATGAATAAAAGCGAGTGGCGCATTCGTTTTTTGGAGCACGCGGTGTCTGAAGCACTGGCCTTAGTGACGCAGCAGCACTGCCAACAAATGGTTTAACATGTCAGCAAAAATTATGGACGTGTTGTTCATTTGGTCGATCTGTACAACATTCTGTTGGCAGTAAACTACCTGTTCTAAGCGAGTGTTGTTCTTACATTATTATGATGACGGGTCAGAGTGCACTTTATACTATGCTAGAAATAGCCAGTTCTCTAATCGGGGGAACATCGTGGATTTCCGCTAAGTTGGTGCGTGTGGTCGCCTCGCACACCCATTTTAGTTGCCGTGTTGTAGAACAATCATGTGGGAGCTTGACAAACAGGTGTCACTCTAACACGGTTGTGTAACAAGCAATTATGTTCTACCGCCTGTCTTTGATTGTATTTGGAGAGCCAATGGATAAGGACTTTGATAAGGGCATAATAAATACGAAAATTGAACTATGCAGACTTGACGCACATGGGTAGTGTGTGTGTGGCCGTTTGCCGGATTGCTTAACCCGTTACACCGACGCAGGCGGCTGGACGCTGTATGCGGAGACGCAGAGCATGTAGGACAAGCACAACTAACATTTACCACGCTGTCCAGAGAAATATTTCCCCATGGGTATTTGTCAGTTGTGGACTGTATTCGAACACACCACAGGGTTGCGGTGAGAGGAAACTTTGAAGCTGCAAAGAAAATGTACTCGCTTCGGCGAATCATAGATACTCGTCGGGTTGTAACCTCTGCACAGGGATGAGTGGCTCCGCATGACACAAACCAATCCGTGCGTTCATATGGCAATTGCCATTTGCAAGTGAAAGTTGCTATTTCGCTTCATCTCAATTCCACGTGGGTAAATGATACGGTCATAACCGGACATCTGTTGCAATCATATCTCGTGCGTCTTATCGTCATCCATCCACACACCTCAGGCTCCGTCCGCCATCGCGAGCTGACTACACCGTGCAGCTAATCACGAGTTATAAATCAGGCGCCCTATCCATCCACCTCGGACTCCTAGTAGGTGGTTGAAATGAAACGGTTCAGCCGCCTACCAAGTATCTGTTTCGCCTTTCAATCCCCTGGGTCTTTGATGACCCAAAGTACGCCAGCATACGGAAGCCCTAGGTACTCTCATCATGACACATATGGCATTAGGCGAGCAATCCGTCGAAACTTAGTTCCAGTGTTGTTCTCGGGAAAATGAACGGTTACCTTACGTCCTTAATCGATATCGACTGAAATTTCACATGCTTTACCGGCACATTCAGTCAAGCGCTTTTCATCAGGAACGTCATCTACATGGTTGTTAACCTGGCGATGCATCTCCGGTGTAAGCGCTCTGGTTTTCAGTGCACTCGGTTTGAGTTTGGATGAGCAACT